ACTTAAACGGGGATGGGGCGGGGGGCGGGGAGGGCCGCCCCGCCCCGTTGCCATCCCTATCATCTCCCTTCTTTCTCTCTGTCTCCATCCTCTCCACTGTTGCTAGAAGACCACCTTGCGGTGTGAGCACCTATGCATAGCGCTGCTGCCCAAAGCTACGCACAGCAACTTCTTGGTTGCTGTAGCAGCTCTGCGTAGCGAAGCTGCGCCCAGCGACTATGAAATTCTGTAGGAGTTTTTTTTGGTGGTTCATGAATTTTTGTTGGAGTTTTGTGGGAGTTTTGCTACTGAAGTTTTGTAGCTTAGTTGGAGTTATGTTAGTGGTAGTGGTGGTGGTGGTGGTTTTATTGGTATGTAGTTTGTTGGTGCTTTTCTTTTCTGTGTGTGGTTGTTGGTGGGCAGTGATGACGGTGGTTGTGCAGGTGGTGGTGGAGAAATGGCAGCTCCGATCTGAGGTGGTGGTAGCGGAGGGTTTGGGGATGGTGGTTTGGTGTGGTGTGGTGTGGTAAAGATGGAGACGGAGATGGTGGTTGGGATTTTTTGGTAGGGGTGGTGGTTCCGGTTCTGGTGGTGCTGGATTTGGGCTGGGCTGGGCTGAGGTTGTATAAAGAGGCTTTGCGATCAATTATTCAGGTGAGCGTGACCAATAAATTGAGTTAATTAGCGACTCATAAATAATACGTGAACAATAAAATTGATAATTTGTGACCAGATGTGACCTTAAAAATGTGACATCGCCACTAAATTTGTAATTGTGATTCACAATTTCGTCACGGGTCAATGTACGCAGGTCACACATCAAATAGAACTAGTCACAAATCACTTATTTATATTTACAAGTCACATATTACAATTCACATTTCATACTTCATATATCACATGTCATTGTGCAAAACTTTAAAAGTTCAAAGGGATAGGTCACAAACTTTAAAATTTGTTCACAATTCACGTCACAAGTTTCTTATGTCCCTGTTTGGTCCACATTAATATTTTCATTCTCATTGTTCTACTCATTTTCAATCACACATTTTTCAATAAAATAATATTTTCCATCATATCAATAACTTTTCCTTCTTTTTCAACCACATATTCCTCATCCATCACATCAACAAAATGCATTACTCTATCAAATAGAACTGATCACAAATCACTGATTTATGCTCACATGTTATAATTCACGAGTCACCATTCACATGTCACATATCATATTATATAGGCACATATCAATGTCAAGAGGTCACAGATAATTATTAATTGGTCACATATCAGATGTCGCATGTCCTCGTGTATTGATAGTAGGTCACTAATTTAAGTTCACATGTCACAATTCATATGTTATAGGTCACAAGTCATTTTGCATAGGTAACAAATCAATGTCTACATGTTACAGATCCAAGAGAATTTGTCAGATGCTACTTGTAATAAATCAATGCCCAAATATTACATATAAAAAAATCTAGCCACAGGCCATTAGTTCTACATAACAAGTAACAGTTTACATGTAATTTAAATCACCGGAAAAAATATAAAAACTTACACTAAATTTCATGATAAATCAAACATGAATCAAATTAACACTCCATCAACGGACCAGTTCTTTACAATAGTTTAAATAACACCGCCAAAAATCTCATTCTTTCAATCATTTTGATGCCAATCAATTGTTCAAATTGAAGTTCAATTAGATAATCCGTCAATTCTTGTCAATATTTTGCTAAATTAAAAATTCAAACAAGCCGCTACCCTTGAGATGCCGTACTCAGGGATCTCAACTCGAGGGCCTTTATCTAGATCTGTACCACCGTAGTGAAAGAGGATAGCAAACGAGTAAACATCGATGACCGTGGTTGGGACGTTGGGTGAGTCTATAGAGAAAGATTAGAAAGTGATTAAAGTAGGACGAGATATTAGGATGAATATTTATTAAATATATAATTTTTATTAATTATCACTTGTGTTTTGAATTTTAAAACATTTTCTCTTAAAATTGATTTGGGGATATAATTAGGGCCTAGGTCATGCATTCTTCCCCATTATTATTAATTCATTAAGGCCAAGGCCCAAAGTAATAAAAAATGTAAATTCTGACCATATCACATAATATAGAAAGATAAGAAATAAATCTCTTTACTATTAAATGCGTGTCTAGAGAAAATTATAATGAAAATAGGCAATGTATCTCACGAAATGTATGAATAATTGAAAAATA